TCTGGACACTGAATCAGGTGGGTCTTCACCATTGCCGCCTGTAGGTCACATAGGGGCGTGTTGGGTGTGTGCCCACTCCCATTTTGTAAATGTGCTTCGCCAGGCAATCATGCCCGGTACGTAGTCTAAACTCAGCAACGGCTTCGATTCTTGGCCAGTCGGCTATGTCGGAGAGTGCCACTGTCCACTATTTCTCCTCTATGTGGTAGAGTGCCACTCTCCACTGTTTTTCCTTTGTTCGAACTTTAAGTTCGTTGCAATCGGAGAGTGCCACTGTCCACTGTTTCTCCTTTGTACGAGCTGGAGTGCCACTGTCCACTGTTTCTCCTTTGTTGTTTAAGTTCGTTGCACCTTGAGATCTTGAATTCTCTTCTGATCGGGAGAGTGCCACTGTCCACTGTTTCCCCTTTGTTCTTGAGTTCGTTGAACCTTGAGGTCGATTCTTGGCTAGTCGGCTATGTCGGAGAGTGCCACTGTCCACTGTTTCTCTGTTGTTCGAGCTTTGAGTTCGTTGAACCTTGAGGTCTGGAAAGCCGGGTATGTCGGAGAGTGCCACTGTCCACTATTTCTCCTAGCTATATCGAAGAGTGCCACTGTCCACTGTTTCTGATTCTTGGCCCAGCCGGGTATGTCGGAGAGTGCCACTGTCCACTATTTCTCCTTTGGGGCTATATCGGAGAGTGCCACTGTCCACTGTTTCTCCTTTGCTATATCGAAGAGTGCCACTGTCCACTGTTTCTGATTCTTGGCTAGTCGGCTATGTCGGAGAGTGCCACTGTCCACTGTTTCTCTTTTGTTGTTTAAGTTCGTTGCACCTTGAGATCTTGAATTCTCTTCTGAATTAAGTTCGTTGCACTACTAGGTCTTGAATTCTCTCCTGATTAAGGTCTACATTGTGAGGAAAGACATTGACCAGTCTATGCCTCACAAAATTGTTGTCCCCTTCTTAGCAAGTGCGTCAGCAAACTCATTGTCTTTAATGCCACAGTGACAAGGAATCCATTGCAGGACCACTGTTTTGTTTTTTTCTCAGCAGGTAACACAGGTTTTTACATTCGCATATCTCGGCTGTTTTGGGTGACTCTCTGTTTCCAATTGAGTTTATTGAGCTTTTGGGTGTCTCTCTGTTTCCAATAGAGTCTATTGCTAAGTCCAAAAAACTAGTGCTTTGGTAAATTGCCTATCCAGGCAGCACAACTGGCCTAGTGATATCTTAATGGCTCCTATTTCTCCTTCGAATGCGGATCTATTGTGTCCCGCTGCTGCGAAGAATGAGAGTGGTTCAGAGCAAACATCTGCACCAGCGTTTGGTTGGTTTTCTATGTAAGACCCATTAGTGATGACTTGGAGCCATTGATCTACTGGATAGTTAACACTGATTGTCTCAAGGGCCAATGAGCACATTTGTTCTGGAGGGGTATTCGCTTTCTTGAAATGGTCAAGCGTTTGGGTGAAACATTGAACATCAGTGTCTGATAATGGGTTTTTAAAGAAGAGTGAGGCTATTGGTTTGTAATGCTTTCTTCAGTTCAAGGGCTTTCTTCATTAGACCAGATTACATTTTCAGGTGTCTTGGTCTATTTTCGTAGGTGCTGAAGAATTTGTCCATGGGAATGCGCAGTAGCTTCTCATACAGGATCAAGGCCTTCTGTTTGATATGGGAACGTATCGTGGTATTCCATGTAACTAGGCCCATTGCATCAGTGGGTGTTGATTTTATCCCTCCAGTAATTAGTCGTAATGCTTGGTTGTGTGCCTTCTCGAGGGGTTTGAGAGTCACCTCTCAGCTTGTTTGGCCGTATCCCTCCATTAATTAGTCGTAATGCTTGGTTTTGTGGCCGTCTATTCCTCTAGTAATTAGTCGTAATGCTTGGTTGTGTGCCTTCTCGTATTGGTTTGAGAGTCACCTCTGTGGCTGTAATGAGTTCTTGAGTGGTTTGAGAGTCACCTCTGTGGCTGTAATGAGTGGCCACAGCAATACAAAACGGCTGAATATCAAGTGGTATTAAGAGTTGAGCGTGTAAGCCCCATACGCTACCAGCAAGACGCTTCAGGACATTCAGTCTATTAAAGACTCGTTCTGCTATTTTAGGAATGTGGCTTTTCCACGTTAGCTTTGTGTCAAACATCTTTCCGAGGTAAGTGAACTCATTGGCTTTTTCTAGGGAAGCATCCTTGTACCTTAGAAGCGGGTTTATGCTGTGATGGGCCAAAGAAAAAGTTTGAAATGCAGTTTTCGCGGTGATGACAACCATTGCATTGTTGTCGCACCAGTTTGCTAGTAGTTTAAGTGCACAATTTAGGGCACTTTCTGTCCTCTCCTGAGCGTTCTTCTTAGGGGTGGAAAACCATAGGACAAGATCATCTGCATAAAGTAAGCACTTAACGCCCGTGACTGTCTGTACTAATTCGGCTGTCATTAATGAAGACATTGAAAAGAGCGCAGCTTGTGACAGCTCCCTGTGGAAGGCCTATTTGTAAAAGATTGGATTTTGATAGAGCATTTCCATATCTGATTTTACATGATCTTTGTCCAATGAATGCTTTTATCCAGTTTAGCATGTTATGCTTCATACCAATCTTCGCCAAGTTTAGAATTAGATTCTCTTTCCATACTAAGTCATATGCTGATTTGAAATCGAAGTTCCATGATAGCTTACTTTTTCACTTTGGGTGTCATGCTTTTGCTGCCGGTAGTAATACTAGCAATGACTGGTTTGTGACCAGAACCAGGATCATCAGTTATTTTGCGGTGTGCATTTTCGCTAATGCTGCTTGAAG